TTTTATTTAAAAACAATTTTTAAACTATGCAATTTTTTTTGGAGAAAATACCCTTCTTAAAGTTTGTTGGGCTACGTAAGGGGCTCACTTTCATATAATTATGTCTGTGATCGACTGGGTATTTTTAGCGTAATTTTTGATTAACTAAGAAAAGCCAAAATAACCCATTTTGGGGTAACAATTTGGACACGAATTTGGCAAAACAAATAACACTAAATTAAATCTGCTACAAATCTAAACAAGTTTTGTCTTCATAAGTTTTCACCTAAACTCAACCCAATTTGAGAAAAATGCGTTTTAAATTTCAAGTTTAACGCATTTTGTCCGGTTAATTTAAATCAGCACTGTATTCAAATGTCCTTAAAAGAAGCTTGCCGGGTGAGTAGGTTAAATGTGACGGCAAAACATTACCAATGAGATCCCTTCGGTACAATTTCATGACATCCACTTTTTGTTTACCCAAGCTTAACTTTGTAAAGGTGCACTTCAAAAGCCTTCTAAACTGCCCAAAACTGAGTAGCCTCAAATTAGAGTCTGAAAAAGTCAAAAATAATTCCACGGTGTACTTTCGGACATTCGCTCTCTTTCGCCAAAGTTCCTTTGTTCGACCTTGCTCTTGGTCAGATTTTTCGGGAATCTACAAAATTACCTTTGACGAGAAATTTAAAGGAATGTATTCCTGGAGTAAAAAAAATGAAAACCATTGCCAAAAAAGTTATCTGACGGTGTTTTCTAGGTGCCCGGGTTGAACTCACATTGAAAATTAGCGGAAAAAAATGAAAAAACAGCGATCCCAATCGATGCTTATTTTCAGCGATGAAACAGCAATAAAAAACCTATCAGCATGAGCAAATAGCTCTATCAGGGGCTTGATCCCCAATCCTTCAGCTTTGTCGACACAGATTCTACCTCTGCGCTAGCAATTCAATGTAAACTGAAGTTAAAGGGTTTATCAAGTAAAACTCTTATTTGAAAGCTATTAGAATAAGTTCAAAAATTCTTAAGTTTAAGTGATGATTTTCTACGGAATCATTACTGAAATAGCTCTGAAAATCGCAGGTTTATCTATGCAACAAACTCTGAATTGTACATGAATCAGCGCTGGAAAATAGCGATCACTGGGATACTACAGAAAAAGCGATAATTACCGGTGGGACTTCAACCCGGGAGGGAGTTTGTTATTTAATTTTTATCAAAAGTTATTTTTCTTGATTATGCAGGGCGGTCACGGTACTGGTAAAGCTCATTCTGGTATTGATAGAATATATCATTGTAAATAAGCTTGAGCGGCTAAAGTTCATTATCAAAAGTTGTCCAAGACCGTTCGTAGAAGCAACTACGTTATGTATTATTTGAGCCGGGTCATGCTAACCAAAACCCAGACCCCCTAAAAATGGTAGCACCACAGAGTATATTCTAGTATCGCAAGACATTTAGAACGGTACTTTTCTGATTTCAGCTCCAATTTTTGTTCCTGAGTTTAGGTCATCGAGCCAAAATTCCATGCATAATAGACAGTCTGATTTGAGACCGTTAGTTTCTCGAAATTTTTTTTGTTCCGATCATGGTTATCCGGTTTCACGATACAACTGGATGTTGCTGGTAATTGTTCACCAGATGAAAAGTAAGCGTAGAAGTCAATTCCAGAATATGCTTCTACAGAAAAAACTGTCTTCTATTGCTCTATAACTGGTTTTTTCTAAAGTTTCAGTAATTAAGTTTCAAAATTTGACCAACTTTGCTTTTGTAACAGAAAGAGTACACTCGCAAGTGGAAAAGTGCGCTAAGTTTTTAATGATTGCTCAATTTAAATATAAATAAGAAAAAAAACGACGCAGAATTTATTATCTTGGTGATTTTATTGCATTCATGGTATATCTAAAATTTATGATCTAAGATGCAACACAGCTTCTTCCGTTTTAAATCTTAACATTAGATCTTTTTTGAATTGTTTGCGAACCTTGTAAGTTTTTTTGCCTAACAAATGAAACAAAACTTTGTTGCGACAACTCTCTCTGAAATTTTTTCACTATATAAAACAACAACTTAAATGGATCGAATTTCTTTAAAAGTTGATTTAAACTTTTAAGTAAAATCCGATAATTTCATGAATTCGTCTCATATTAATGCTGCACTTCTAAAGCAGTACTCAAAAATGGAGTGGGCTTTCTTCTTACACAGTTGTATCAAATAAAACGGATCAGCCTTTTTTCTGCCTTTTATAGTTTTATCGCAAACGCCGAGTGATTATTTTTCGGTCTGAAATTTTATTCGAGACAAGCAATGCTTAAATGTAAAAAACTGCGTTCGCCATTTAAAAAATTTAGAGCTAAAAATATATATTCGAGTAGCAAAATTCAGTGCTGATTAAACAGCGAGTTTCAGTGCTCATTAGACCGCGAGGTTTGAAAAACTCGAAATTTTTTAGGAAAAAAAGCAAAAAAAATGATTTAAAAAGGCCACTTGTAGGGCGCTACCAAAATGTGTGCTTCTTAGAAATTTTTTCACTGACTAATTTCGAATCATCGCTATTTCTTTATTGAAAAGAGTAACATTAGTTTTTGGTGGACATTAATAAACGAGCGATCAATTTTATGAAAACATTGAATCATCTGCAGAATTGTTCTGAAAACACACTTGCATTGTTTCATGGATGCTGCAAACGGGTAGTTTTAAATACGATCATTGCGATTTATTGAAACGAAAGTACAGATTGTGGTGATAGAAAAATAAACAGTAGTGATGATTTTAACAATCCTGTCAATTTTGGTTCTGTAAAAACCAGGGCTTATTAAAGAAATAATGAAAATTTTTCAAAGATTTCTTGGAGGTAAAACTTATGCAAGTTTCATCACATATAACTATGACAGAAAAAAAACTCGTTACACAAAACTATGACAAAATAAGGTTTCCAAATCCCGGGTTCACCTTCGTAGACCAAAAATGCTAATGATACAATTCCATAAAGTAAGTCTATGAAAAAACACTAGTCAAACAAACATAATACACTTTTTTTTTAAAATAGTGCCATCGAATTTTCAAAGATTTTTTTCTTGTTTCGGTATAAAGTTCGAAGTATCCTACTAAATAGAAACGGAAAACTTTTTGTCGAAAAATGCTAATCATACAATTTCAATATATGGAAATTGTATGACTAGCATTTTTTTCATGGCGACAACCAACTTTTTTTTCAATAATTTTGAAATTGCCCCAAAAACTCTTTGGTTTTTTCCAACCGCAAATCGAAATTTTTACTCAAACAAACATTTTTCACAAAAGAAAATTTTGAATGCAAAATTTAATTTTTGTGTGCATAACGTAGTCCTGGATACACTAGTCTTGGATTTTTTTCCTTTATGCTTTTTACTTTTTTCGAAAACACTTAAAACTCCTATTTTGATTTGTATGGCATGCTTATGCATGCCTTGATTAAAGTTGATGAATTAAAAACTCAATTTTAAAAAATAATCGTCGTTGGAAATTTTCACTAAAATTTTCGTTATATTTTTTGTGTAAAACTGAGTTAAAACATTTCAGGTCGTTTCCAATGCATTTATAATGCGAGACGATCAAAATATTGGTTACTCAACTTTGAGTAACCAAGTATTGTCACTTGAGTTCAGTTACGAATACAATCAAAATGTTTTGAGAAATTATTTTATTTTGGTTTAGGAAAAGTGTATAATTAGAATTTTTGGTCAACCTGGGATGCTATCTGAACTAAAGTAATCGAACCACATTGTGTACTACTAGAGAAAAAAAGTGATTAGGTCGAAACGTTGTTTTACAATCTATATATACAATCCAAGCTACAGAACATAAAAGGATTAGTTTCAATGACCCTAACTTTTGAAATTTTCTTTGAAAAGTTTTGGCGAGTCCAAAACTTTTTCATGGCTAAAAAAATAGCCTCTATGTGACTTTTTATGACCTCAAAACAGATTTAAAAACTGATTTTTTATGTTGATTTTAATCCGCCGGCGAGAAAAATTTATTTTTTGATAGGAAAAAATTGTTGAGAATTTTTTTTGGTGAGAAAATCTAATTAACTTACACAAAAACTAACTGGCCTCAGAATCGTTTGCACTTCTTTAAAATTTCATCTTCAAAAATTTGTTAGCGTGTCAACCAAGGTCATCTAATATTTCATAATTAAATCATTTTTTATGCGTTAGATAAAAATCTTTTAATAGTGAAACTCGTAAGAAGTGAGGCAACTAACCAAATTCAATTAAAGTAGCTTAAGCCAAATGAAACATTTTTTGAATTAACGCGGGTTTTGTTTTAGTTTTGAAACAGAATCAATTTTCAAATATCCTAATACTTGGTTAGAATTTAATACAAAACAAAGTTGCCGCAGATTTAAAATCTTTTGCCAATTTTCTTACAGTTTTTTTGCGAAGTTGGAGATAGGAGGATCTGAACAAATAGTTTTTCGTTTGTCGTGGTGAAAACGACTTACATTTTGTTTTTTCATGTCGTTGAAAAATCTAATTGCTGTTTGAAATTGAGAAACTATTATAAATTTTTTCAAGGAACATTTAGTTTTTTTTAGTAATTTTACACGATTTTAACGACCAAAAGTAAAAACTTTTCAGACTTTTTCGACCAACACTTGAACAATTTTTTAAAAGTTTCAATTTCTACTCGCAGTGTACTTTCAGCGCCTATTTTGGAATCCAATTTTTCAAAAATTCAAAAAATTGCAAATAAAATCTTGAATTTTTTTTTGATTTTTTCGTTTTTGTATTTATTTATCTGCAATTTTTTTTTTCAATATGCTAGCTCCCAGTTTTTTGTTCATCTCTTTTTATCACGCAACGCCGAATAAAAAACGACAATAATTTGAAAAAAAAAGTTGTATTTTTCAAGACTCTGTTCGGAACATACTGTGCAACTTGCACAATAACCGACAATCTCTGTTTTTTTTTCAATTGTTTTGGAGAAAATTGAAGACTGGACTAAAGAGCAATTTTTTTCAGTTTTTGTATAATTTTTAGAAGTTGGAGTTGAGTCAGGATGGGTCGAGTGAGTTCATCAGGACAGCCAATCCTCAGTCCCAGTCAATGTGCTCACCCGACTGTTCAGCAAACAATCACTCTCAGTCTTGTATCCGAACAATGGTAGATCGAAATGGGGCTAGTAGTTTAAATCTCTAGTAATTTATAGCTTTTTACCTAATCAAATTGTGTCTTAGCAGATTTTGAAAATTTATATTTTAATTTGGGACGAATTGAAAAAAAAATTTAGTAAAGGATATGTTTTACAGTCTAGTCCGTTTTGATATAAAGAATTTTTTATATCAAAACGGAATAGACTAGAAAAGCAACACTTCTAATTCTTAAAAAGCAAAAAAAAAGTTTCATAGAACCTCAATGTGAGGTATTAATATTCAAAACATGATAAACTTATATTTTTCATTTAAAAATGGTTTTCTGATGCCGTGTTATTGACCAAAAACACCATAAATAAGATACTATTATTCATTTCAAAATGGTTTACTGATGTCTTCCAAACGACCAGAAAGACAATAAATTTTTTCATAAAATCTCAAAGTGAGATATTAATTTTCAAAACCTGATAAAATACTATTTGTTCATTTCAAAATGGTTTTCTGATGTCGTGTGAACGATCAAAAACGCAATTAAATTTTAATCGAATTTCAATATTTTAATATTCAGAACCTGATAAAATACTATTTATTCATTTCGAAAAGATTTTCTGATGTCGTCTGAACGATCAAAAACTCAATTAATTTTCAACAGAATCTCAAAATGATGTTTTAATTTTCAAAGTTTGTTAAAATACTATTTATTCATATCAAAATGGTTTTCTGATGTCGTCTAAACGACCAAAACACCATAAATAACCAAAAAAAAATCGGGTTTTTTGGACCACAAAGCATCCCATCAGTCTTAATCTGTATCCCGTTTGTTTTCTCCTGTCAACAAAACTATTTGGTTTTGTAGTGATGTTCATAAATTTTTTCAAATTTGATAATAAATCCTGTTTTTACTTCTAGAGTAATTCCTACTAAAATTTGCCGTCGACACTAGTATACTTTGGGGTTTTAGAATTCCTCGGCTGCCAGTGGATCGAACAAAAAAGACAGTCTGATGAACGACTCTTTGGAACTGTCAGGAGGAGCGATTAGTCACCGATATGAAACAATAGATGAGACTACTTCCAAACTAGGTAAAGTATAGAGTTTTTTCAAACGGGTTTATTTAATGATTTCTCTCTCTTTTCATAATTGTTTAGGTTATTGAAACGATTTTTTTTGCATAGGGAAGTAGCAAATTGCCGAAATCTGATGAAACTTTTGATTTTGCTTGAATGCCTTTCGTTCGTGCATGTTTTCGTGGTTTGTTGAATGTTAACTGAACTTTGGGCAAAGTTTTTATAACACTATGGTATCAAACAATTGGATAAAATAGACTGAAAAAAAATTTTTTAGATAGTTTTTTTTTCAAATTTGGCTAATTTGGAATACAAATAGTGAGAACAAAAACAGTTTGACAATTTAAGAGTATTTTTATGGTGCAATATATTGCAGAATCGCAAATCAGAATTATGACCTTAAAACGGGTGAATTCGTTTAGAACAAAACTACGGAGTTATACACCTCTATGGTAGTTATTCTCACATCGATTGACCCCGTTTGCCCCCTAACCTTTGATCCATTCGAGTTCGCCAATTTGAAGAGTGTAATATTTGTTTTTAGTGCCGCTAAATAATTTGCATAAAAAATGCTGGTAAAACTTCGAAGAATTTCCGCTATTTTTAGTCTATAGGCAAAAAAAAAGAAGTTTGAAAATTCTGTGTTAGTTTATCTTATCCGATTGTTTTATATGAGTGCTATGAAAGCTTGCTCAGCTCAAAATGCAGTGAAATTATAATAAACCGCAGAACCATGCGTAAACAGTATAAAAGCCAAGGTAATAAATTATATCATCAGAGTTTGGCGAGTTTGGTGAGTTTGGTTTTTGATTTATTTTAAAATTCAGCGCATACCGTTTTTTTAAAGGATAGGAAACTCCAATATCGCACAGCAAAAAGTGTAAGGGGTTACAAATGACGTGATCGATTATTAGTTTCGGAAATTGTAAATCATTTTTCAGATTTCCAGCGGAGTAAAAATCGTACCTATTGAAGTCAAGTTTTCTGAAATTGGGTTATTTTTATCAAAAAAATGTCAGTCATAAAATGTTTCATAAATCAAATGAGCTTTGATGCCAACTTTGTTTCATCGAATTTCGAAACTGAAACTTTTTAAAAAAAAAACAAGTCAGCAAGTTTTTCTTAATCACTTGCGCTCATTTACTGTTTTCCTGCTGTCTTTTGGAAATGTTTTAGAAACCGAAATTCAAAAGTTGTAGTATCAAATTTTCAAAGATTTAGTTAAAAAAACAGTTTTGGAAAATCAAGTTGAAATTGACAAATTTATAAATCACAACTATAAAACTCTAAAATTGAAAACTTATACCTTCGATGAAAACTTATAACAAGATTTTACTTGAAATGAACAAAAATATTTGAATTCAAAGCGATTTCAGGTATCTCTCAATTGGCAAAAGCTACCCTTGAACAAACCAATCGAGAACAACTGAGCAAGTCCCACATTCAGTCTAGAAGCACCCCCTACACTACTCACCACAACCCACATGAGTCATACTCGGGGGGACCACACAGACTCGTGAGACGCAACTCAACTCGACAATCTTCCAGGCAAAATTTTATTTGTACACCTGAATTTCACCAAAAAGAAATATTTTCGCAAAAAAAAATTTGTTTTAACGGTTTTGAAATGTGTGAAAAACTGATTTCCGACCTCAAAATCAACATATTTGTTCCATAACTTCGTTCAGATAAAACAGTTATTGTTGTCCATGAAACTACTAAAATTTTGTACACGTGTAATATCTCGCTCAGTGTACTCGTGAACTAAAATCACGTTTTCGCAATCTCAGAATTGCTCGTGTTGACGTCCATATAAGAAAAATGCCTTATCATACAAATTCATATATGGGGTCTATAGAAAACATTTTTATCATACAGTTTTCATACAAAAAAAATTATGACAAGTATTTTTTCAATCGTTTTTTTCTTCGAAAAGTTTAATTATTTAATTTCACAGTACAACAACTGCTTTTGCTATTTTCATGAAAATCTCGGAAGTATGGCAAGAAATTCATCATTAAAGCTAGAACGAGGCAAAAAAAGCTTATTAAAAAATTTCGTAAGAATGCCTAAATTGCTCTTTTCTTACATTTTTTCCAGTCCATGAAATCGTATAAAACTGTATGACAAGCATTTTTTGATAGTATGAAATTGTATGATAGGCATTCTTTGTCAAACCGGGTCATTCGATTGGTAAAAAAAAGTGCATCAAAGAGAAATTTTCTCAAAAGGTAGCTCTAAATCGACGCTTTTAGTTCACTTTTGAACACAAAAATCTACCAAAATGGCAAATTCAGTTCAAGAAAAAAACTTTCCTCAAGAATTTTCCATAGAAACCGTTTTCAAATTTCTTTTTATTTCAAACATCAAACGAAGACTCATCCAATGCTCACATCATATTTCAATTTTTTTTTTAAAAATCATATTTGTTGATAGTCAACACAATCGGTATAAATATTGTATAATATATGTATACAACGTTGAAAAAATATGTTTAATCCAAAAAATTAAAATGTCGACAATCCGTAGAAACTATGTACCAAAATATACATTAAAAAAGTATTTTGGGTGCTATTTAATTGTTTATCTCAGTAATCGATCACCATCGTGCTAAATTAAGTCCAGTCGATTACATATTTATTTGATGCAATCAAAACTATCTGTTTACTATTGATTACTAATTTTTACTAGCGTTAATCGACTAATTTTTTAATCCAAAAATAGGCGTTTTGAGAGTTTTGAAACAAAGTTACCCAAAAAAATGGAAAAGTTTACTTTTTGTGTTTAAGTTGTGAACACAAAAAAGAATAAGTCTTGCATGCCAGAAAAAGTTTTTCGGAAAATGTTTGTTTGAGTGCAAAATTTGTGGAAATTTTCTTTTATGGAAACAATATGATTAGCGTTTTTTGGCGACTTTTTTTCTTGTTTATTTATGACGATGCACCGACCGACTTCTATGCCGAAATAGGAAAAAAATTTCTAGAAAATTCGAGGAAACCGTTTTTCAGCCTGGTTTTCAGCTCAATATTTAACTAAAAAAGCTTGAGGTCTCGAATTAAGAAAACAACCAAACTTGATAATTAATTTTTTTAAAATTTATAGATCTCGAATCCACTCGATGACTCGCGTGGTCTCCGTATCTCAACCCCCCTCTGTCGTCAATCTGTCGAACTCGATGGAGTCTGTCAGGTCATCAAACTACGTAAGAAGTGGCGAGACATTTGCAGTCGTGCCAGAACACGACTCGAAACGAAGGTACAAGCAAGATAGTTGGAACCCTAAATTACTATGGATGGCTTCCCGAAAATTAGGTCCTTTTAAGTGGGTTAGAATGTCGTTAATCGTATGAAAATTTCTGTTGAGTTCTGTTGATGGCTTGTTTACAGATTGGTGAAAGTCACTGAAACATTTTTTGCCTGCTTAAAACTTCATTAAATGTTTCTGCTTTGATTTTCTTCAAAGTTTGTAGATTTAAAAGTCCCTGAAATTGTTTTTGCTTGCTTAAAACTTTGTTAAAAGTTTCTGCTCTGGTTTCTTCATTTTTGTAATTGTTCAATGAGTTTTAGAAGCCACCTTTCAATCCTGCATTTTGATTATAATCTAACTATCATGCTTGTACCGACACGAAGAATGTCCGAAACTACTCAGAGTCGAGTGGATCCTTTGACGAGTCAAAGTAAAGATCGAGGGACTTCTAGGAATACTTATAGTACACATATACATTATGTCAAGCCAACGGATGAATTAAGGGACCGATTTAGCTCCGGCATTCCTTAATTTTTCCTATTTTCGCTCAACTTTTCTTATATTTTCGACACAAAGAGGTAATTACATACTTTTTTTACTACTTTGAGTTTTTTTCATTTGAAAGTTTTTTGACATCAAGCTTGAACTTTTTTTTAATTGACTAGTTGAAAATAAAACAACTATTAGACAAAGAAAACAAATTCATACGACCTGAAGCCATTTTTTGGTATCTGAAAACTCAAAAAAAAAAAGTTTTCAAAATTTCAGAGCTGCCAGTTTTGAAAGGGTAGCAAAGTTTACCAAAGTATGGGAAAAGGCTTAGAGAGATCTTGAAAAAAAAACCAACAAAACATAAAATGAAATTTGCTTAAAATAAATCGGATTCTAATCATAAGTTCAACCCGCGACAACCGATCTGGTCGGAGTTACGAGTCGAGTTTCGGCTCCAATCGTGGCCGCCAAATTATGATGGTCGGAGAGGTGGGCGAAAGCATTCAACCTTCAGAACTGGAGGATATTAGTAACCCTGACCTTGAAAATGATGGTAACTTATAAATTATAAATTTAAAACATATACTCGTAACATAGCCATAGAATTAACAAAGAAGTGAAAAGAGTGATCCTTACAAATTTTCAATCAATTATGTGACTGATTTTTTATTAAGAGAAAAATGTATGAAAAACCTCTCAGATTCCAACTCGCATTTTTTTGCGCATCTTTTTTACGGTGCTGCCAAAATCAATTTCCAAAAAAAAGGTTCAGTAATCAAAAATACATGCATAACTTCGATGCTTTACGCAAAAAAAAAAACGATTTCATTTAACGGTAGGTGATTTTTTTTCAGGCATTCTTCGTCCTTTAATGTCGCAACACGGACACAAACTGAAACTGCACGAGCAAAACAGTAATGACTATTCCTACTCGCAAACTGATTGGAACTCCGAAATGGCCACCACCTGGCAAGAAGGCGATGATTCAAGGCTCATTTTTTGTTTTTCGCTCCGAAAATCACCTTTTGCCCACAAGAATGGTTTAAATATGATGAAAGCTTCTTCGAAATTGAGTTAACTAGCTAAAAAAAAAAACAGTTATGAAAACATCAAAAACTTTTTTTCTCTTTAGTTTTGCTTAACATATTTCAAATTAACTTACAATTTTGTGTCATGTTTTTCCATAAATCTTGCTTTTTGAAATTTATCATGAAGTTTGAGAATCGGAAAATGAGCCCACTGGATATATTCAGCATGCAAAGTAGCACTGTGTCTCAAACTGCGTTCCAATTACACCCTGGCTATCAGAAGTTTTATCAACAGCAGACGCTCAGTCCAGCTAGTCACAGAGGTGAGAAACTCTTTTTGTGTTCACAATGAAAAATATTTTGATTTTGAAATCAGGTTTCAAAAAAGTATTTGAAAAATAGTTTATTTTCAAAAAAGTGCTTTCGTGACGACAATAGGCTTTCGAAGATTCTGTTTTTTGTTCTAAAGGCGGCTCAATTGCTTGTTTTTGACCAGTTTTGCTTGTGAGTTTGGTTTTTTTTATTTCAGCAATTGTATAGTTATAACATGAATTAACAGTAATAACATATCAGTTATAACAATAATACAGTATAAATTGTTGAAAATTTGTCTATTTTTTTTTTCTTCTGTTTCAGGTGGATCGGCACTCCAGAATTCCAAATCGGACGTCAGCAGTCGTGTCTCGATGGGTTCCAGTTACATACAGCCAGTGATGTGGAACGACGGAGCCCCCACCCCTGTCAGTGGATCCCACAGATTAACACCTGTCAGAGCCCGACAAACTTCCCAGGTGGACGAATTGGACTCGGTTTTTGTCGACAACAGGTAGGTGCATGTGTTATAACAGCATAAACTGTATGGAAGATGATTAAAAAATTATGAGTAGGTTTTTTTATAAAGCGCAAATTAAGAACAATCATAAACTTAATAAATTGTTCAAAAAGTCGTAATAAAAACAAATTGTTCAGGCTTACAATCAGTGGCTTTTTCTTAGGGATTTGACCATCACGCCAACCAAAAAATCCTTCCTTGCGTATTGTTTTATGACACCGATTTCAGCCTTGCTAACCCCAAAAAGTTTCTAAAGGCCAAAATTTAGTAATTTTGAAGGGAAGCGTAATTTTTTGGTCAAAGTTTTCCAAAAGTGCCCAAAAAGAGATTTTTGACCCGTTCTTTCAAAAACTTGTCTGCGGCGCAATATTTTTTGAATTTTTATCTATACTGTTTTGAGAGTGCTCGGAAAATCTAATCGGTCGACCTACAATTTTTTGAAAATCGCCCCTTTGAGAAAATCTTAGATCCACCAATGCTTTCAATAAAAAAACAGAAAATTATTTTTTCATTTTAGAAACCAATCTCAAGTCTGAAATTGAATAGTTTTTAAACGCCTCTAAAGTTTTTAAGATGTTCGAATGTGCATAACTAATTCGTTATTGTTTGAAAAAGACAGTTAATTTCATCGACTGGGAGATCACCATTAGACCTACAAGTCCGTTTTTATGTGTCGCGGAGCGGAAATTAGGAATTTAATTTTCTAGTGCTTCGAGAATTATCATGTTCTCAAAGTTCAAACTAAATTTTTGAAAGGAAAGTTATGATTGGTTTCAGGTTTTCTATACAAATCTGGTTTTAAAAACGAGAAAAAGAACTAAAAACAAAAAAAAACACAAAAAATTAAACTAATAAAAATCCAAGCGAACAATTAACGTCAACAGGCATTCTTAGATATTCTATATAATACAGGACGTAGGAGTTTAGGTTTATAATTGAATAAGTTTTTTGCTGCGAAAAAAAATTGTTGTTTTCATTGAAATTTTATTTAAAATAAGCATAACGTCTTAGCATTTTGCATATCCTTTTAACTGAGGTTTCATTGAGCTTTTTATTTATCTGTTGGTAATTCTGGTTATCTCAACGTGCCAGCTCAAATGCTTGCTAAATTGATTATCAAAAAAAATCGTTAAAAATTTAAGTCGCGTAATTACGTCTAATTAGTCTTCAAATTTTTTCACTGTATCATACAAATGGATCAATTTATAACAAAATACATTTTTTTGTCTCCTTGACGTTGTATTGATTGGTAAGTTTACGTACTTGGAAATCATTCTGATTAGATTTGTCAACCCCTGATCAAATTTTTTTTTTCGGCTGCATAAGCCAAAACATCACAATTACTAGGCCAGACTACATAACTACATAACTAAAGACTTGTCTCTGGATTGCAGAGACCTCTCGTACCCAGTAAACTTTCTAAAACAGATCTGAAATAACCTTTTTCCGATCTAGATTTCAGATCTGAAATGGGTTATGAAATTTTTAATTAACGCTTGGATACTTTAATAATTGTTTTTTTTTCAGATCTAATTTCAGATCTAAAAATTTGTTTTACTTGGTTATTTCAGATCTGAAAAAAAAACTACTTTAAATCTAATTTCAGATCTGAAAAAATCAATGACTCTGACACAATTTTTTTTTATTTTTGATTTTTTTTTGTATTTGTAGCTTCTGCTAGCTGCCACTAGGTACTCAGAAAAGTCGCAGTTTGGAGACTGCCAAAATATATTTCCCCAAGCATCAGATAAACATTGAAAACGCATAATTAGCGCATGAACATCAAAAATTTTACAGATCTTCTAACAGTTTTTGAAAGCTTTTTAACACCGTGGAACAAGAAATTTAGTTTGAAAAAAAAACTGTTTGTGAAATTATTCGGAAATTTTTTTGCTGATAGATAATCTAAACATAATTGTGTATTCCAGAAGCAATAAGAAACAAAAAATCAACTTTTTGGTCGAAATGCATAAATTATAACTTGACAAAAGATTTCTCAAAACTGACTTCAGATCTGAAATTCTGTTTTTCAATGTTATTTCAGATCCAAAATTCAGATGTGAAAACTGTCAATTCTTATCAAGATGTGAAAGAAAATATTTCAGATCTAAGAATCAACTTATGTAAGAAATAAAGAATTTCAGATCTTGCACAGAAAATTCCCTGGGTACGGGCTACAAATATCCAATTGTTTGCCTATATAGTGCACAGTTTGGCCTCGTTTACTCTTTTTCTCAGTCTTTTGAAAAAAAACTTCACTTTTTAATTTTCTCTTATAAAAATTTATAGAACTGATTTTTTAACTGGATTAAACGAAGTGAAGACACTTAATTAGGTCCTGTATTTTTTTTCTTAAATCAAAAATGACGAATCTCATCTTTATGAAAAATAGTGGCAATCAAAACTAACTCATGATTTTTTTGTTTAAACATTGAAGGTTTAAAACATCGAAAACAATTTAAAAGATTTTTTTGTTTTCCTTTTCCTTGATTCTTTTCCGTTTGCTGGTTGGCTTGATCTATTGAATTGTTTGAAAAACATCAGAAACGGAAGAGGGTAGCCAGAACACCTTTCAATGATATCAGCAGTCTTTTGGTTTCATTTTTTTTTAAATGACTACTTATCTGTTTAGAAAAATGACTAATTATTATTTATTTGCACAAGATGAAAAATGGCAAAAAAAAGTCGACAAAATGAAGAATGTTTTGAGTTGAAAAATGTACATTCAGTTGAATTTGAGCTGAAAAATTATTTTGCGACTAATTCCCGGGTCGAGGCGCTCAATTTTTGTTTCGATTCAAATTCG